GGCGCAGGGGATCTGAGAGAAGACCCTGATGGCGTGCTGGATCTCCACCGTCGGCGGCTCCGCGTACTTGTGCGACCCTTTTCCGTCGTCCAGGCGCTCGTTCACGCCCGTCAGGAGCTCGATGCTGCCGGTGGGCTTCAGCTGCAGGAAATCGCCGAGGTGCAGCACGATGGGGATGCGTCCGAAGTGGTGGTGCGGCCGCTTGTAGGTGGACTCCTGCACGTCGTGCGTGTCACTGCGTCCGTGGCAGGCGCGAAGGTCCAGCGCGTTGTACAGAGCTGCCGCCACCATGCTGACCTCCTCGATGACCAGAACGCGGACGTCCTCGGACGGGGCTACCCGCACCGCCCACAAACAAAGTTCCCCCTTGATGCTTCCCCCGTGTTCAAAGCCGCAGGAGCTGAGGAGCCCAAAAAGCTCGCTCGGATGACCCGCTCGGGTTCGAACGTGAAGTGCGTGCCCCATAGGGAGGGGGCTCCCGCCTGAGACTTCCTCGCAATTCACTCACAAACGAGGCTGCCGCTCGAGACTTCCTTCATACTCAAGCCTCAAGAGCCCAGAAGTGACGACAGTTACAAGGTTCCGATGACCCGCTTGGACTAATAACATGATCTGCGGGCCCCGTAAAGAGGGGGCTCCCGCCTGAGACTTCCTCGCAATTCGCTCACAAACGAAACTCCCGCCTGATACTTCCTCCATACTCAAGCCTCAAAGAGCCAAAAGTGACGACAGTTACAAGGTTCCGATGACCCGCTTGGATTTATAACATGATCTGCGGGCCCCATAGGGAGGGGTCTCCCGCCTGAGACTTCCTTGCAATTCACTCACAGACGAGGCTCCCACCTGATACTTCCTGCATATTCAAACCTCTGGGGGCCAAAAAAGACGACAGTTACAGGGTTCCGATGACCCGCTTGGAATAATAACGTGATCTGCGGGCCCCGTAAGGAGGGGGCTCCCGCCTGAGACTTCCTCGCAATTCACTCACAGACGAGGTTCCCGCTCGAGACTTCCTTCACATTCAAGCCTCAAGAACCCCAACGTGACGACAGTTACAAGGTTCCGATGACCCGCTCGGATGAATAACATGATCTGCGGGCCCCATAAGGAGGGGGCTCCAGCCTGAGATTTCCTCGCAATTCACTCACAGACAAAGCTCCCGCCCGATACTTCCTACATATTCAGGCCTCAAGAGCCCAAAAGTGACGACAGTTACAGGGTTCCGATGACCCGCTTGGACTAATAACGTGATCTGCGGGCCCCATAAGGAGGGGCTCCCGCCTGAGACTTCCTTGCAATTCACTCACAGACGAGGCTCCCACCTGATACTTCCTCCATATTCAAGCCTCAGAGGCCCAAAAGTGACGACAGTTACAGGATTCCGATGACCCGCTCGGATTAGTAACATGATCTGCGGGCCCCATAGGGAGGGGGCTCCCGCCTGAGACTTCCTCGCAACTCACTCAGAGGCTCCCACCTGATGACGAAATCATGAGTGAGCGAATGATGATGATGATGCTGATGCTGATGATGATGATGATGATGATGATGATGATGAGTGTGTGATGAATGAGTAATGATGATGACGATGATGATGATGAGGATGCGGATGATGATGATGATGCTGATGATGATGCTGCTGATGGCCACTGGGTGGGTGATCGAGAGATTATGAGGGAGATGGTGACGATGATGTTGGGAGTGGCGGCGGTCCTACCGTCGGAGGACCACTGCCTCCGAAGCCTACTGAGGATACGTGAGTAATTGAGTGAGTGAATGGGTGATCGAGTGGTGATGATGGTGACGATGATGATGAAGATGATTATGATCATGACTAGTGATGACGGTGATGGTGGTTGATGGTGATGATGATGGTAATGATGGTGAGTGTGTGCGTGTGATGACGATGATGGTGGTTGATGGTGATGATGATGGCGATGATGGTGAGTGAGAGAGAAAGAGAGAAAGAAAGAGGGAGAGAGAGAGACAGGAAAGGGTGTGTGTGAGATCCTGCGCGGCGTGTGCAGAAAAACAAGAACCCCACTTTGGATGTGGGGAAAAAAAAACCTTAAAGGCTGCCAGGGAGCGACTGGAAAAACCCAAAACAACTGCGAAAAAACGCCTGCAAACAACTGCCAAGTAGCGCCTGGACAGCTGCCAGGGAACGCTTCGAAAGATTGCGAATCTTGTAGATTCACAATCTCCAGAACCTACCACCGGGGAGCGGGCCAGTTCACCAAGGAATGGAGCAGGCAGTTCACCAGGGAACCAAGTCCCCTGGGGGGGAAGGGGGAGAGGGGGGGGGGCTCACCCGGGATCAGGAAACATGGGGGGAGACGAGGGGCGGGCTCACTGGGTCTCAAGAGAAACAGCAAACGATGCATTACATCGCTGTGCGTGTCGCAGAACACATCAATCATTTCAGAGTCAGCTGTGTTCTCTGGTGGGTCACTACCAATCCACCAGATGCGGTCGGTGGGCGGGTGGGGGGTGGGTGAATAAAGAGCGGGCGCCGCCCCAGGGTCACCAGCTGGTACGCGGTCCACCTCATTGCCTCATCAACCAAAGGGATCTCGGGAAGCTATTGACTCCCCTCCACCCCCTCCCTCCCCCTGTAACTTCCGCCCGCGGCGCGCGTCCCCTCCCCCCCGCCGCCACGCGCTCGGAATGTCGCAAGGGCCAGGGTGCAAGACAGTCAAAGGCTTACTGGCGCAGCCGCCGTCGGCTCTCGAACGATGGGCTCGGGAAACAGATGCTGGGGGTGATGAACTGGGGCGCACTTGTAGAGCGGCATGAACATGCAAGAAGGACATTCGGCAGCTGTGCGCGCAAAGTGTCCGGAACCCACAACAAGGAAACACAAGGACACACACGCTCGAAGCCCAACTGATATCATCTGGTGCATCTAATGCAAAACGCTGACAACATTTTCACAAACAGTGTGTCCATAAGAGTTTCATACGTAGTTGACCACTGGCCCTGGCTTGCCCTGGCTGGCCCGAACTGTTCTGCGCAACCGAGTACGAGGCGGCGTCGCTTGCACCGCTCTTCAGTTGCGCAAAGGCGGCGCTGCTCTGTAGATGGGGTCGCCCCAAATTCCAAGTCACCTACAAGGTATGATAGGAGGAGGAGGAGGAGGAGGAGGAGGAGGAGGAGGAGGAGGAGGAGGAGGAGGACAAGGAGCAGGAGCAGGAGGAGGCGGAGGTGGTGGAGGAGTACGATCTACACCCCGCAACCACTGTTGCGCCACGACACTTGTGAGGGGTTCGCCGGATCGAGCGGGAGGGGCCCCGTGCGTCCGCGCCCGCCGGGACCGTAGGTGTGAAGCTCCCGCTGGGGCCACGAAGCGCGAGCGGGGTGCGCGGAGGTGGGCGCGGGGAGCCCGTGCGTCGGCGCCCGCGGCGACTGGTGGTGGGGCTGCCTGTGTGGGGCCACGACGCTTGCGAGGCGCGTGCGTGTGTGCTTGTGTGAGTGTGTCTGCGTGTGAGTGTGTGTGTGTGTGTGTGTGCGTGTTTGTGTGTGTGTGTGTGTGTTTGTGTGTGTGTGTGTCTGTCTGTTTGTCTATCTGTGTGTGTGTGCGTCTGTGTGTGTGCGTGCGTGCCGACATGAGCATGCCTTGGGCAGAGGCGAAGATGGGAGGATGTTGGGGGGGGGGGGTAGCGGGAGTCAGAAGATGCGAGGCGCTAAAGATCCAACACCAGGACCCAGCGACACGTGGAGCTCGGGATCGACAGGCACACACACACATCACCTTTCGGAGGTCCGCGCAACTTTTTGGGATCGTTGCTGACCCCCTGGCGGTGCATCCAGCGCCGCCCCTGGCGCGCCAAGCGCTCCATGGAGGCGGGGTTCAGTGCCGATCCTCAGACAACACTCCATGTCTATTATTGTGTTTATCATTATAATTGTTATGATTTTTCCTTGTTATCATTATTTTGAAGGCTGGGCGCACTGATGGCAACTGGCGGACCTGGAGGGCCAGAACCAGGACCGCGTGAGCCTCCCCGATATATCACGATAGCATTTGGACAGCGCAGTGGCAGGCTGCTGAACGCGCCGTTGCATGATGGCGCTGGTCGCGCTCGCAAGGCCGCCTCGAGCCTCCTTCCAGCTTCAGAAAGCGCTTCTGCGCAGCCTCCTCCTTCCGCCTCTTCCTCCTTCTACAATTACACCATGTGAATACTACTCTCCTCTCTCCCCTGATGACGTCTGGAAGATATCCGCCCCCCCTCCGCGTACTGTTTTTAAGCACAAGACTCATGGGAAACGGGTTTTCGCTTGGATTCGGTTTCGAAATGTTGCCCCCGCTGAAACGATGACTTTATTTTCGGGCGTCCGCTTTTCCGAATCGTGCTACCGCTGCAGCGCTGGCCTCATTTCCGTGCTTCCGCTCGTTCCGAATCGTGCTCCCGCTGCAGTGCTGGCCTCATTTCCGAGCTTCCGCTCGTCCCAAATCGTGTTCCCGCTGCAGCGCTGACGTCATTATTTCCAGTGCCATGCCACGGCATGGTTTTCGGTCTTTCCAGATAGGCTCCAAAATCTAGAACATGCCCTCCCCCCGAAAAAACATCGGAAGTGGTTACACATTCGGTGTCGTTTCGTTGGTTCTTAGGGCCGCAGAAGCCCACGACATGCTATGTCATGCTACGCGTTGATCTTCAACACCATGCTATACCATGTAATGCTATGCCATGTTGCGACATCCGACTGTGCGCATAGAGAGGAGATCTACGCCATGGTAAGGGATTGGGAGGATGGGAAGGACGTCAGATATAACGCGAGCGCACCTAGCTTGCCCCCCCCCCTCCCTCCTCCTCCGCCTCCTCTTTCCGCCCCCCATTCCCCTCCTCCTCGATGGGGGGGGGGGGAAGCTGGCGCGACGACGCCGACGCCGACGACGACGGCGAAGGAGACGGCGGCGGAATGCGACGCGGACACCGACGACGATGTCGAGGCCAGCGAAGACCACGACGCCAGCGGCTTTGTCGGCGGCGGCGGGCCTCCGCCACCTGTGCGCGCGTACTTGGAGTGCTGAGCTGGCGGCGCCGACGGCGGCGCGGGCCGCTTGTAGCCCCCCTGGCCCCCCGAGTAGGACGAGTTGCCGGCATAGGACGAGCTGCCGTAGCTGCCTCCTGCAGGGAGCCGAGGGAGGAGAGGGAGGGGAGGGGGAGAGGAAACAGAGGGGGAGCAAAGGAGAGGGAGGAGGAAGAGAGGAGAGGGAGGGGCAAGGATGGGGAGGAGAGGGAGGTAGGGCGGTCCATTCGCTGGCTCCTTCTCCTCCGTCCTCGAACGTTTTCTGACCAGGATTGTACCAGGGGGAGGGGGTGGAGACTGTGAGTGGTGAGGGAGTTGCCTCCTGGCGACCGCGATTCCGCCCTTTCCCTACTACCCAGGCCTTCATCCAGGCGTCGCGAAGAGCATATTCAATGCGGACGTCTACATATGTGCATCTCGTTCGCAGCCGTTCTTCACGAGTGAGCATGCGTGTAAGTGAGGCTGAATGTGAACGACACTGAGTGTCAGTGACCGAGTTCGGACGAGTAAGGGCACGCAGGGCAAACTGTGAGTGGGTCTTCTACGTCGGACTGGATACTTATGCGTGGGTCTGGGTACGCGTGATGGTGCGTGAATGAAGATATGTTCTACTGGGTCTGCATGAGCGAGTCTCAGAAACCGGGACTGCGTGTGCGTAGGAGTGGCTTCGCATGAGCGACTGCGTCGGACCGAGCATGAATGGGCCTGTGCACGACTGGGGCCGAGGATCAGGTGAGTCCGAAGGGAACGATTCTACGTGGGGGTGTTCGAGAAAGAGAGGCTGCGTATGGGTGAATGTGAGAGCGGTTGATTATGATTGCGAATAACTGTGTGAGCGTGGCTGAATATAAATAGGGCTGAGCGCGCGTGGATCTAAGTAGAAGTGACTCATGCGTGATCGGGGAAACATAACTGAGCCCCGGCGGGAGTGAATCCCATTTTGAACAGCGGAGTAAAGGCGGGCCTGAAAACGAGTGGGGCTGGGCATGCGTGGGGCTGAATCTGAGTGAATCTGGGCGTGAGTGAGTCTGAGTCTGCACGGGTGGCTGGACCTTCGTGAACCTCATTGTGCATGAGGCTGGCTATGGCGACTACGGGCAAGTCTTTCTTTCTTTCTTCGCCAGCGTGCCAAGCCTCATGAGGAGCACGTGATGAAACGTCGATGCTATGCTACTCCGGAAACTGCCATGCCAAAGCGTAAAGGGGGAGCGAAGGAAGGCAGGGATGATACATCCTACCTGCACGCGGACAGGGGCGCTTGCAAGCCTTCGTCGAGAGCCACTGCTTCGGCCTCGAAGGCGCTGCGACAACTGCGCATGCATGTGGGTGCCTCTAGTGCCGACAAGGATTTGCCCCCTGGTGGACCAGGTACGGCGAGGGCGAAGGCGTCTCTCATCGTGCGTTGCGTCTCACTTGTGCCCATATTCCCCGCATTCCCCTCTGGCCTCTTCCCATGGAGAGCCCACAAAGGACGAACGCGCCGAACCGTGCACGTGACATATGTGCATCTCGTTCGCAGCCGTTCTTCACGAGTGAGCATGCGTGTGAGTGAGGCTGAATGTGAACGACACTGAGTGTCAGTGACCGAGTTCGGACGAGTAAGGGCACGCAGGGCAAACTGTGAGTGGGTCTTCTACGTCGGACTGGATACTTATGCGTGGGTCTGGGTATGCGTGATGGTGCGTGAATGAAGATATGTTCTACTGGGTCTGCATGAGCGAGTCTCAGAAACCGGGACTGCGTGTGCGTAGGAGTGGCTTCGCATGAGCGACTGCGTCGGACCGAGCATGAATGGGCCTGTGCACGACTGGGGCCGAGGATCAGGTGAGTCCGAAGGGAACGATTCTACGTGGGGGTGTTCGAGAAAGAGAGGCTGCGTATGGGTGAATGTGAGAGCGGTTGATTATGATTGCGAATAACTGTGTGAGCGTGGCTGAATATAAATAGGGCTGAGAGCGCGTGGATCTAAGTAGAAGTGACTCATGCGTGATCGGGGAAACATAACTGAGCCCCGGCGGGAGTGAATCCCATTTTGAACAGCGGAGTAAAGGCGGGCCTGAAAACGAGTGGGGCTGGGCATGCGTGGGGCTGAATCTGAGTGAATCTGGGCGTGAGTGAGTCTGAGTCTGCACGGGTGGCTGGACCTTCGTGAACCTCATTGTGCATGAGGCTGGCTATGGCGACTACGGGCAAGTCTTTCTTTCTTTCTTCGCCAGCGTGCCAAGCCTCATGAGGAGCACGTGATGAAACGTCGATGCTATGCTACTCCGGAAACTGCCATGCCAAAGCGTAAAGGGGGAGCGAAGGAAGGCAGGGATGATACATCCTACCTGCACGCGGACAGGGGCGCTTGCAAGCCTTCGTCGAGAGCCACTGCTTCGGCCTCGAAGGCGCTGCGACAACTGCGCATGCATGTGGGTGCCTCTAGTGCCGACAAGGATTTGCCCCCTGGTGGACCAGGTACGGCGAGGGCGAAGGCGTCTCTCATCGTGCGTTGCGTCTCACTTGTGCCCATATTCCCCGCATTCCCCTCTGGCCTCTTCCCGAACCATGCACGTGACATATGTGCATCTCGTTCGCAGCCGTTCTTCACGAGTGAGCATGCGTGTAAGTGAGGCTGAATGTGAACGACACTGAGTGTCAGTGACCGAGTTCGGACGAGTAAGGGCACGCAGGGTAAACCGTGAGTGGGTCTTCTACGTCGGACTGGATACTTATGCGTGGGTCTGGGTATGCGTGATGGTGCGTGAATGAAGATATGTTCTACTGGGTCTGCATGAGCGAGTCTCAGAAACCGGGACTGCGTGTGCGTAGGAGTGGCTTCGCATGAGCGACTGCGTCGGACCGAGCATGAATGGGCCTGTGCACGACTGGGGCCGAGGATCAGGTGAGTCCGAAGGGAACGATTCTACGTGGGGGTGTTCGAGAAAGAGAGGCTGCGTATGGGTGAATGTGAGAGCGGTTGATTATGATTGCGAATAACTGTGTGAGCGTGGCTGAATATAAATAGGGCTGAGTGCGCGTGGATCTAAGTAGAAGTGACTCATGCGTGATCGGGAAACATAACTGAGCCCCGGCGGGAGTGAATCCCATTTTGAACAGCGGAGTAAAGGCGGCCTGAAAACGAGTGGGGCTGGGCATGCGTGCGGGCTGAAATCTGAGTGAATCTGGGCGTGAGTGAGTCTGAGTCTGCACGGGTGGCTGGACCTTCGTGAACCTCATTGTGCATGAGGCTGGCTATGGCGACTACGGGCAAGTCTTTCTTTCTTTCTTCGCCAGCGTGCCAAGCCTCATGAGGAGGCACGTGATGAAACGTCGATGCTATGCTACTCCGGAAACTGCCATGCCAAAGCGTAAAGGGGGAGCGAAGGAAGGCAGGGATGATACATCCTACCTGCACGCGGACAGGGGCGCTTGCAAGCCTTCGTCGAGAGCCACTGCTTCGGCCTCGAAGGCGCTGCGACAACTGCGCATGCATGTGGGTGCCTCTAGTGCCGACAAGGATTTGCCCCCTGGTGGACCAGGTACGGCGAGGGCGAAGGCGTCTCTCATCGTGCGTTGCGTCTCACTTGTGCCCATATTCCCCGCATTCCCCTCTGGCCTCTTCCCATGGAGAGCCCACAAAGGACGAACGCGCCGAACCATGCACGTGACATATGTGCATCTCGTTCGCAGCCGTTCTTCACGAGTGAGCATGCGTGTGAGTGAGGCTGAATGTGAACGACACTGTGTCAGTGACCGAGTTCGGACGAGTAAGGGCACGCAGGGCAAACTGTGAGTGGGTCTTCTACGTCGGACTGGATACTTATGCGTGGGTCTGGGTATGCGTGATGGTGCGTGAATGAAGATATGTTCTACTGGGTCTGCATGAGCGAGTCTCAGAAACCGGGACTGCGTGTGCGTAGGAGTGGCTTCGCATGAGCGACTGCGTCGGACCGAGCATGAATGGGCCTGTGCACGACTGGGGCCGAGGATCAGGTGAGTCCGAAGGGAACGATTCTACGTGGGGGTGTTCGAGAAAGAGAGGCTGCGTATGGGTGAATGTGAGAGCGGATTCTACGTGGGGGTGTTCGAGAAAGAGAGGCTGCGTATGGGTGAATGTGAGAGCGGTTGATTATGATTGCGAATAACTGTGTGAGCGTGGCTGAATATAAATAGGGCTGAGTGCGCGTGGATCTAAGTAGAAGTGACTCATGCGTGATCGGGGAAACATAACTGAGCCCCGGCGGGAGTGAATCCCATTTTGAACAGCGGAGTAAAGGCGGGCCTGAAAACGAGTGGGGCTGGGCATGCGTGGGGCTGAATCTGAGTGAATCTGGGCGTGAGTGAGTCTGAGTCTGCACGGGTGGCTGGACCTTCGTGAACCTCATTGTGCATGAGGCTGGCTATGGCGACTACGGGCAAGTCTTTCTTTCTTTCTTCGCCAGCGTGCCAAGCCTCATGAGGAGCACGTGATGAAACGTCGATGCTATGCTACTCCGGAAACTGCCATGCCAAAGCGTAAAGGGGGAGCGAAGGAAGGCAGGGATGATACATCCTACCTGCACGCGGACAGGGGCGCTTGCAAGCCTTCGTCGAGAGCCACTGCTTCGGCCTCGAAGGCGCTGCGACAACTGCGCATGCATGTGGGTGCCTCTAGTGCCGACAAGGATTTGCCCCCTGGTGGACCAGGTACGGCGAGGGCGAAGGCGTCTCTCATCGTGCGTTGCGTCTCACTTGTGCCCATATTCCCCGCATTCCCCTCTGGCCTCTTCCCATGGAGAGCCCACAAAGGACGAACGCGCCGAACCATGCACGTGACATATGTGCATCTCGTTCGCAGCCGTTCTTCACGAGTGAGCATGCGTGTGAGTGAGGCTGAATGTGAACGACACTGTGTCAGTGACCGAGTTCGGACGAGTAAGGGCACGCAGGGCAAACTGTGAGTGGGTCTTCTACGTCGGACTGGATACTTATGCGTGGGTCTGGGTATGCGTGATGGTGCGTGAATGAAGATATGTTCTACTGGGTCTGCATGAGCGAGTCTCAGAAACCGGGACTGCGTGTGCGTAGGAGTGGCTTCGCATGAGCGACTGCGTCGGACCGAGCATGAATGGGCCTGTGCACGACTGGGGCCGAGGATCAGGTGAGTCCGAAGGGAACGATTCTACGTGGGGGTGTTCGAGAAAGAGAGGCTGCGTATGGGTGAATGTGAGAGCGGTTGATTATGATTGCGAATAACTGTGTGAGCGTGGCTGAATATAAATAGGGCTGAGTGCGCGTGGATCTAAGTAGAAGTGACTCATGCGTGATCGGGGAAACATAACTGAGCCCCGGCGGGAGTGAATCCCATTTTGAACAGCGGAGTAAAGGCGGGCCTGAAAACGAGTGGGGCTGGGCATGCGTGGGGCTGAATCTGAGTGAATCTGGGCGTGAGTGAGTCTGAGTCTGCACGGGTGGCTGGACCTTCGTGAACCTCATTGTGCATGAGGCTGGCTATGGCGACTACGGGCAAGTCTTTCTTTCTTTCTTCGCCAGCGTGCCAAGCCTCATGAGGAGCACGTGATGAAACGTCGATGCTATGCTACTCCGGAAACTGCCATGCCAAAGCGTAAAGGGGGAGCGAAGGAAGGCAGGGATGATACATCCTACCTGCACGCGGACAGGGGCGCTTGCAAGCCTTCGTCGAGAGCCACTGCTTCGGCCTCGAAGGCGCTGCGACAACTGCGCATGCATGTGGGTGCCTCTAGTGCCGACAAGGATTTGCCCCCTGGTGGACCAGGTACGGCGAGGGCGAGGGCGTCTCTCATCGTGCGTTGCGTCTCGCTTGTGCCCATATTCCCCGCATTCCCCTCTGGCCTCTTCCCATGGAGAGCCCACAAAAGGACGAACGCGCCGAACCATGCACGTGACATATGTGCATCTCGTTCGCAGCCGTTCTTCACGAGTGAGCATGCGTGTGAGTGAGGCTGAATGTGAACGACACCGAGTGTCAGTGACCGAGTTCGGACGAGTAAGGGCACGCAGGGCAAACTGTGAGTGGGTCTTCTACGTCGGACTGGATACCTATGCGTGGGTCTGGGTATGCGTGATGGTGCGTGAATGAAGCTATGTTCTACTGGGTCTGCATGAGCGAGTCTCAGAAACCGGGACTGCGTGTGCGTAGGAGTGGCTTCGCATGAGCGACTGCGTCGGACCGAGCATGAAGGGGCCTGTGCACGACTGGGGCCGAGGATCAGGTGAGTCCGAAGGGAACTCTACGTGGGGGTGTTCGAGAAAGAGAGGCTGCGTATGGGTGAATGTGAGAGCGGTTGATTATGACTGCGAATAACTGTGTGAGCGTGGCTGAATATAAATAGGGCTGAGTGCGCGTGGATCCAAGTAGAAGTGACTCATGCGTGATCGGGGAAACATAACTGAGCCCCGGCGGGAGTGAATCCCATTTTGAACAGCGGAGTAAAGGCGGGCCTGAAAACGAGTGGGGCTGGGCATGCGTGGGGCTGAATCTGAGTGAATCTGGGCGTGAGTGAGTCTGAGTCTGCACGGGTGGCTGGACCTTCGTGAACCTCATTGTGCATGAGGCTGGCTATGGCGACTACGGGCAAGTCTTTCTTTCTTTCTGCGCCAGCGTGCCAAGCCTCATGAGGAGCACGTGATGAAACGTCGATGCTATGCTACTCCGGAAACTGCCATGCCAAAGCGTAAAGGGGGAGCGAAGGAAGGCAGGGATGATACATCCTACCTGCACGCGGACAGGGGCGCTTGCAAGCCTTCGTCGAGAGCCACTGCTTCGGCCTCGAAGGCGCTGCGACAACTGCGCATGCATGTGGGTGCCTATAGTGCCGACAAGGATTTGCCCCCTGGTGGACCAGGTACGGCGAGGGCGAAGGCGTCTCTCATCGTGCGTTGCGTCTCACTTGTGCCCATATTCCCCGCATTCCCCTCTGGCCTCTTCCCATGGAGAGCCCACAAAGGACGAACGCGCCGAACCGTGCACGTGACATATGTGCATCTCGTTCGCAGCCGTTCTTCACGAGTGAGCATGCGTGTGAGTGAGGCTGAATGTGAACGACACTGAGTGTCAGTGACCGAGTTCGGACGAGTAAGGGCACGCAGGGCAAACTGTGAGTGGGTCTTCTACGTCGGACTGGATACTTATGCGTGGGTCTGGGTATGCGTGATGGTGCGTGAATGAAGATATGTTCTACTGGGTCTGCATGAGCGAGTCTCAGAAACCGGGACTGCTTGTGCGTAGGAGTGGCTTCGCATGAGCGACTGCGTCGGACCGAGCATGAATGGGCCTGTGCACGACTGGGGCCGAGGATCAGGTGAGTCCGAAGGGAACGATTCTCCGTGGGGGTGTTCGAGAAAGAGTGGCTGCGTATGGGTGAATGTGAGAGCGGTTGATTATGATTGCGAATAACGGTGTAAGCGTGGCTGAATATAAATAGGGCTGAGTGCGCGTGGATCTAAGTAGAAGTGACTCATGCGTGATCGGGAAAACATAACTGAGCCCGGCGGGAGTGAATCCCATTTTGAACAGCGGAGTAAAGGCGCGCCTGAAAACGAGTGGGGCTGGGCATGCGTGGGGCTAAATCTGAGTGAATCTGGGCGTGAGTGAGTCTGAGTCTGCACGGGTGGCTGGACCTTCGTGAACCTCATTGTGCATGAGGCTGGCTATGGCGACTACGGGCAAGTCTTTCTTTCTTTCTTCGCCAGCGTGCCAAGCCTCATGAGGAGCACGTGATGAAACGTCGATGCTATGCTACTCCGGAAACTGCCATGCCAAAGCGTAAAGGGGGAGCGAAGGAAGGCAGGGAGGATACATCCTACCTGCACACGGACAGGGGCGCTTGCAAGCCTTCGTCGAGAGCCACTGCTTCGGCCTCGAAGGCGCTGCGACAACTGCGCATGCATGTGGGTGCCTCTAGTGCCGACCCTGGTGGACCAGGTACGGCGAGGGCGAAGGCGTCTCTCATCGTGCGTTGCGTCTCGCTTGTGCCCATATTCCCCGCATTCCCCTCTGGCCTCTGCCCACGGAGAGCCCACAAAGGACGAACGCGCCGAACCATGCACGTGAGCACGGCCCCCCAATCTTCTGCGAGACTGGCAGCGTGGTGCGAACCTTCGCGCGCCGTGCGCACGACTCCCGGAGCCTGCGTGGATTCATGGGACGCGTCAGCCCTTCGTTCGCTCCTGCCGCCCTCCCTCCTACCCCCTCTTCCTCAACCTTCTTCACGGGTGCAGTCGGGGCGTTGACCTAAGGAACCCCAAATAAGGAACGAGGCCCCTTTTCTCCATGAGTTGAACTTCGATTTCCCATCGAAAATCTACGGACAGCAGAAGGCAAACTGTGAAACAATGAAGGAACACGGAGCCCCTCCCCAACGCGAAGGGTTCCTTCTTCAGCGTCCCGACTGTAAGCCCTTCGCTCGCTCCTGCCGTCCTCCCTTCCGCCCTTCTTCCTCAACCTTCTCTGGCCATCGCTCGGACGTCCATTCCCTGTGTTTGTTTCGTTTTCGTGCGTGTTTTTTCGCCAAATGATCGAGGATGCTCCTCGATGGTATCGTCGAAGGAAAAATGCACACGTCCGAGCGATGCCAAGTTCTTCACGGGTAGGACGGCACGACGACGCCCTGCGCGGTCCTTTGCCGCCGCCCTTGCCGCCACCGCCGCCCTTGCCGCCGCCGCCGGGGGGCGCGCCCTGCGGGCGCTTTCGGGCGCGTCGGGGGAGGGAGACGAGGAGGGGTGGGGAGGGGCGGCGGGTGCGCTGTGGGGAGGGAGACGGGGAGGGGAGAGGAGGGGTGGCGGGGCGCCGAGGAGAGGGGGTCGAGCGGGGCGAGTGTGGGAATGCCAGATGAGGGGGGAAAGCCGACGAGACGGAGGAGGAAGCAAGAGGAGGAGGAGGAGGAGGAGGAGGAGGAGGAGGAGGAGGAGGAGGAGGAGGAGGAGGAGGAGGGAGGAGGAGGCGAAGGAGGAGGAGGAGGAGGCGAAGGAGGAGGGAGGAGGAGGAGGAGGAGGACTAGGGTGGCGGTTGGGGGTGGTCGAGGGGTGGAGGTAGCGCGTTCCAGAGAGTCGTAGGGGTATGATGCAGGGGCTGGAGGAGGGAGTTAAACTGGGGGACGGGGAGGGGGGAGGGACGAGGATGAGGACGAGAGAGAGAGAGAGAGAGGTGAAGAGAGAAAAAGAAGGGCACGAAATCTCCCTCTCTCTATATATATGTATATGTGCATGTATGCATGTATGCATGTATGCATGTATGCATGTATAGATGTATGTGTATGTGTATGTGTATATATGTATACACATATATACAACCATGCGCGCTTCGCGCGCGCCAAGGTTCTAGCCGGCCACAACTCTTGACAAACTCATGGCTCCAGTGAAGTGGTGACCCAGAAACAATCAACGCGGATCGAGCAAAAACGAAGTACCGGCAACAACTCTGCCGCATGATTCCATGCGGCACCGTCTCTGGGGATCTTTTGGGACCCTTCTGGGCCGTCTGAGGGCCTTCGTGGGGGCCTCGTGGGCCGTCTTGGGGCGGTCCAGGGGGCCCTTTGGGCCGTCGTGGTCGATGCGAACACTCTGGAAGCGGATATGCCAAAACGGAAGTTCTTCGAAATGAGATGGGGCGATGTTTGCTTCTCGGCGCTCTATAAGGGGTCGTCTGAGGAAGGACTCGGGGTCTCTCCGAGGCCTTTGGGGCCGTTGAAAACGCCAGCGGGAACCGCGCAAGACTCCTATAAGCCGTCTTGGGGGCGACTCGTGGCCGAGTTGAACCGCCTCGACGGCGGTCTGGGCGCTCCGGGGGCGGATCTGGGGCCTCTCAGACGCTCACCGGGACCGGGCCACATATTTTCGGTCGGGGTCGCGGCCCGGGGTTTCGTTTTCCCGGTCCCCTTAGGGGTCGCCAGCAAGCTTCGGAAGCGTATCGGGGGCGGAAATGCGAGAACGCCAAACACGTCGGAGGTTGGGGGGTGAGATCGCACTGGAAAGAAGAGCCCCCTGCCTCCTACAAGGAAATCAGTTTCGGTTTCGTGCTCGCGTCGCGCGGGCGGGCGAGGCGAAGCTGCGTGGGCGCGCGAGAAGGATGACCCCGCTGTCGCTAGGGCGATTCGGATGCGGTGGACCGCCTCTCCGCCCACGGTGGGTGCACAGTGGCCCAAGGTGTCCCGCCAGGGTGTCCTGTGGTGTCCCGTTGGTGTCCCGTCGGTGTTCCATCGGCTGTGGGCGGGCGGTGGCCGTGGGTGTCCCGCCTTGGTATCGATATTGAAATCGATAATGATATCAACAGTGATGTCGCTAGAATGGGACGGATGGTGATACCAAAAGTGAGATCGATAGGAAGGTTGATCGTGACATTCGTTGTGGGATCCATACTGGGATCGATAATGCAATCGATCGAGGAATCGATAGTGATAACGATCGTGAGATCGACAGTGTCATCAAAAGCGGGATCTTCAGTGAGATCTGCAGTGGGATGTAAGAACACATTGTATGTTATCGGTCGGGCTTGATCGATCCTGCGAAATCGATGATGGGATCGATGGTGAAGTCGAAATGATATCGACCTCACCATCGACTGTGAGATCGGTTCTTAGAGTTGTCTTTGTTCTTGTTCTAGCCACCATTCATCGCATTGCAACCACCGCAGCCAGTGCGATCATTACCGCGGCCACAACGAGAATTGCTACCGTAGCTGTGGCCCAAGCAAGCCAGACGCACAATCCTTTCTTCTGCCTCTTCGCCATGTCTGTGGGCGGCGTGGGTGGCGCCACGAAAGTGAAATCCGCCGGCCCCCTTGTGGGGCCACCAGGCTGTAGGCGCGAGGTTCGCAGTTTCCTGTGTCAGTTGTAGCTTGTAGTTTCCAGTGTTACAGTTCTGCTTCTTGCTGGTTACTGTAACTAGTTGATTGTTCTCCTTCTTGCTGGTTACTGTAACTAGTTGATTGACCGCGCGAGGGGGGGAGGCCCAAACCGGCTTTTTAGCGTCCCCTGGGCGCGTTGTCTGAATTGCTGAGGGGGCCCGAAACCGCCACCCCTCACGCAGATCCGCGTGGTCAGGGTCCAAAAACACATGGGATTTGCCACATTTCTGAAATTCGGCGCCACCCCTCACGCAGATCCGCGGGGTCAGGGTCCAAAAGCACAAGGGATTTGCCACATTTCTGAAATTCGGTGCCACCCCTCACGCAGATCCGCGGGGTCAGGGTCCACAAACACACGGGATTTGCAACATTTCTGAAATTCGGTGCCATCCCTCACGCAGATCCGCGGGGTCAGGGTCCCAAAACATGAGGGATTTGCCACATTTCTGAAATTCGGTGCCATCCCTCACGCAGATCCGCGGGGTCAGGGTCAAAAAACACAAGGGATGTGCCACACTTCTAACATTCGGTGCCACCCCTCACGCAGATCCGCGAGTCAGGGTCCAAAGACGCAGGGGATTTGCCACATTTCTGAAATTCGGTGCCACCCCTCACGCAGATCCGCGGGGTCAGGGGTCAAAACCATAAGGGATTTGTTTTATTTTGAAATTCGGCGCCACCCCTCACGCAGATCCGCGGGGTCAGGGTTCAAGAAACGCAGGGGATTTGCCACATTTTTGAACATCGGTGCCACCCCTCACGCAGATCCGCGGGGTCAGGGTCCAAAAACACATAGGATTTGCCACATTTCTGAAATTCGGTGCCACCCCTCACGCAGATCCGCGGGGTCAGGGTCCAAAAACACAGGGATTTGCCACATTTCTGAAATTCGGTGCCACCCCTCACGCAGATCCGCGGGGTCAGGGTCCAAAAACACAGGGGATTTGCCACATTTCTGAAATTCGGTGCCACCCTTCACGCACATCCATCGCAAGGCGTGGTAACCCAAACTGCGAGAACTCCCTCGGCCCTTTAATCGCAAGGTGTGGTAACCAAGCCCGTAAACCATACACGTCTTACCAATCGCCAGGTGTGGTAACCCCTCTTGTGATCAGTTGGTTTTGCTGATTGCGAATCGGCTTCGCATGAAGTTTCGATACTGCTTCACGACAGCGCCAAGGCCTCATGACTTAGCTCTTCCATGGCCCATTCTCCGAGAGAGGGGGCCGGCGGCAGGGGGCGAAGCCCTTACGGATTACATCGCAGCGCAACATCGTCATCACGCGCGTCGTTGCTAACTCGGGGTCGCGTCACCCGCATCGTCATCGTCACATCCATCGCATGTGCCAGCAGTTGGTTCTTTCCCCCACCCCCAACCTCATTATCACCCGAAGGTTGGTCGTATAGATGCATTTCTCAGTTAGGTGTTTGGCGGATTGTGGCCTTTCGCGGGCTTCCTCGGAGCGTTGCTGGACGGCCTCGGAGGCCGCTGGGCGCCGTCTTGAATGCTTGTGGGAGCCTCTTGGGCCATGGAAGCGCTGTCGTGGGCGGTCTCAAAGCCCTTTTGGGCTGTCTCGGAGGCGTCCCGAGCCGTCCCGAAGCTTCGCGGGGTCGCTCGGGAGGTCCCAGAGAGCGTCCCGAGGCTCTCCTGTGGCCGCCTGGGGGACCCGGGGAGGCGGTACTGAGAGGTGCAAACATGTTCCCGCGATGAGGGGGGGGGTCACTTGTTGTGTATGTAACAATGTTTCTACACATGAATGTATTTACATATAGAGATGTACAACCGCTTCGCCTATTTGTATAATATATAGAATATACAGACACATATGTATGTGCATGACTGTGTATCTAGGTCTCTTGTGTGAGTAACTATTAATACATAGACGTACACACAGACACACATACACACATGAACATTTAATTCGTGTATACATGTATATATATTTATATATACATATGTATTCACTTCCCGCGCGCAACGCATCAACTCAAGCGAAGCAGGAACACCTATACAGGGAATACAACACAAGGAGCGCGATTTAGGGAAAACGACGGCACAGGGCGCGGCCGGGCATGTGCCGCCATGCTGCCGCATCCTGCCGGCGAGGCCAACGGTGGAGCCGTCAGCTCGGCGAGCTGGGCCCTGCGCCAGAGCATGGGACTGCCCCGCGCACTCGGCCTCGCGACGGAGCTCCGGGTCCCTCGAATCGAGCTGCTCGGCGACAGCGTCGGGAACTGGTGGGGAACTCTTGCCGTTCGCCCGAATCTCGCTTCAGCACTAGTGCCGGCGCGCTTCGCGCAGATGTGGCGAGAGATGAAGATGGCCCCCAGAAGCGGTGCCGCAAGCGAGACCAGTGGCAAAAGCTGATCCCTCGAATCGCCGCTGGCTCTTACAGGGAGAGGCTAGAATGAAGCCCACTTTGAGGCGTCGGCAGCGAGGCTGGGGAGGTGCGAGCACGGGGCGGCAAGCTCTGGCCACTTCAGCAAGTCCTCAGCCAGCAGCGCTGCCCAAGGCATCGGCCGATCCGCGGGGCTCGTGCCGAGCATCGCCCAGAAGGCCGACGGCCGCAACCGCCGCAGACGTCCGAGGAAGCGAAGGCGCGCGTGCATCATCTGGCACCCCATGCTCGGCCTCCGAAGGCGACCGCGCACGTCGACGTCGTGGGCCGCGCGTCTAAAACGTGGCGCCCTGGCAATTCCCAGGAGAACTCGCGCGCGCACGAACCGGCGAGTCGGCACGACGATGTGGACGTCGCGTAGTAGACGACTTGAACCTGCGGTTCTTAGACACCCCGTGGAGCCGAACGTCTCGATTGATGCAGTCGGGCCGTTGACCTAAGGAACCCTAAATAAGGAACGAGGCCCCTTTTCCCCATCAGGTAAAGTTCGATTTCCCATCGAAAACCTAAGGAAAACCTAAGGCAAGCTGTGAAGCAATCAAGGAACACGGAGCCCCTCCCCAACGAAAAGGATTCCTTCTTCAGCGCCCCGACTGTAGTGGAGCGTAACTCTTTTCTTTGAGGCCCCGCCGAGATGCTGAGCAGGTGGGCCCAGTGAGTTATTGGGGCACGGGGCTCCTCCAGGGTGGGCGCGCCTGGGAGCGACCAGCAGGCGCGCGCTGCGACTGGGGACCTCTATCGCAAGGCCGCGCCGCCGGACAAGGCGCGGCGTTCCCCCAGGCGCTGGGCGGAGTCCGTGCCGCGGTGCACAAGGAAGCAGTCCCACTTGCCGGGCTTCCAAGTTATCGCGAGGCCCATGCTCTCGTAGATCCCGCAGGCCGCGTCGAGGACCGCGTCGACAGCTCGGTCGGGGTCGGCGGCGCGGGACGCAGTCAGGACGAAACACTCGTCGTCGACGAAAGCGGCATCGATACCTGGGGCGGTGCCCTCGGCAGAATCGCCTCGGTGCTCCGCCGGGAGCCCAGAGTGCATCGCGGCCCTCGGGAAGCCGCAACGCAACTCCAGCGTCGAGACGGCGCCCCGGATCGGGGCCATGGCGAGGGAGAGCGCGCCGTTGAAGACAGCGGCCCCGACTCGCAACCCTGCGGGCCGCCGAGCAGCGCGGCGACGGCAGGGTCCCCGTCGCCGTGAGCACCCCGCGAAGCCGGGCGCATCAACCCTCGGCGACGCGCCCCGCTGCTCAGACAGGCATCCGCGCCGAAGCAGCCCAAGCGGCAGTGCACTGAGCTTGAAAGCTGTTGTGGCAGCGGTCGCGGAGGCACTGCGCCGAGTCCGTGGCGGCACCGGGCCGCCCCCAGACGATCTCGCGCGCGACCCAGTCGAGGGCCTCGGCCAGGTCCACGACCCACGCGAGGCATGAGCGCCCACCAGGGGCGCTGCAGTCGCAAGAGGACCGCGCGAGGTGCGCAGCGAAGTCGGTGCCGCGGCTTGCGACAGCCCCATGTTGGGGCTCTGGCGTGAAGGCGTTGTGCATGGGGGTCGCCAAGAAGCTGTTGGAACCCCTTAGCGGCGTCGCCCTCGAGAAAGATGCCGCGGGCGTTGTCGCAGTCCTCCCGCGGCCCCTCTTCCTGCGCGCGTTCAGCGCGCGCCCGCCCCCCCCGGGCGGCGAGCCGGCGCTCGCCGTCGACGATGCCGTGGCAGGTGGATGCGTCCTCCTCCTCCTCCTCCTCCCCCTCCTCCTCCTCCTCCTCCTCTTCCTCTTCCTCTTCTTCTTCCTCCCCCTCCTCCTCCTCCTCCTCCGCCGCCGCCGCCGCCGCCGCCGCCTTCGCCTCCGCCTCCGCCTCCGCCTCCTCCTCCGCCTCCTCCTCCTCCTCCTCCTCCTCCTCCTCCTCCTCCTCCTCCTCCTCCTCCTCCTCCTCCCCCTCCTCCTCCCCCTCCGGGGCGATGCCAGGCTGCCAGGGGGTTGGCCGACGGCGTCGCCGCCCGTCGCGGGCAGCTCGCGGCCGCCGCGCCGAGAAGACCCCGGGGCGAACTCGAGGGCGAGGCGCCGACGCCGCTCCGCGCGCGCGGGGGGGCGCGCCTCCCGCAGAGGGCCGGCGGCGGCAGTCCGGCGGCGGCAGAGGTCTGGATCCCTGAGTATCGTTGAACCGATGCCCCATCCCCAGCGGCGTGGCCTGGGCCCCTTCTGGCCGATTTGCCCCCCTGGATGAGGATACAGGTCGTTTGCCCTCGAGGAGCGTCCGCGGTGAGGAGGAGCGCCGGCTCCTGCCGCGGCACTTCCACAAGAGCGCTCTTGTTGCGTGAAGGGGATGGGGAGGGGAGGGGAGCGTGAGGAGCGAGAGGAGAGGAGGAGGAGGAGGAGGAGGAGGAGGAGGAGGAGGAGGAGGAGGAGGAGGAGGGAGGAGGAGGAGGAGGAGGAGGAGGAGGAAGAGGAGGAGGAGGAGGAGGAGGAGGAGGGTTGGATATTTATTCAGCGGGATTGAAAGAGAGGTCAGGTCACGGCCTCAAAGTCTCGAAAGCGCGCCCCCATCCGATGAGGAACTTGTAGTGCCATCCAGCCAGGTTCCGACGACAGGTGGGGCTCCCAGGCAACAGCAAATCCTTGCCTCATGGAGATATTAAGGGGTGGAGGTTAAAATGATGTCAAATTCCCTTCTCTCCTCCTCCGATCTCCTCTCCCCCTCTCTCCTCCCCCTTCTCTTCGTTTCCCGTTTGCGCCTGACGTTCCACCAGTCTGCAGCAGTGCCGCTGACAGTGCGCTACAGTCCGTCGTTGCCGATGCACCTCCGCCGTGCAAGGATTCTCTCTCTCTCTCTCTCTTCCTCTCTATCTCTCTCGCTCTCTTCCTCTCGTCCTCTGTCTCGAGCTGCTCCGCCTCATTGGCTGCGCGGCCTCAGCTTCGGGCACGGAGGCCATTCGGGCCGAAGCGCTGGCAATAGCCCTCTGGGCACAGAGTGTAAGAAGCAAGGGATGACTGAGGAGAGGGCAGAAAGCGCACTGGCAACCGCCCGCCGGGCACATGAAGTAAGGAGCAATGGGTAACTGAGGAGAGCGCAGAAAGCAGGGAGGATGGGGAAGGAGGAGGAGGAGGAGGAGGAGGAGGAGGAGGAGGAGGAGGAGGAGGCGGAGGCGGAGGAGGAGGAGGAGGAGGAGGAGGAGGAGAGGGAGGAGAAGAAGGAAGGGAAGGTGGAGGAGGAGCAGGAGGCGGAGGAGGAGGAGGGAGGGGGAGGAGGAGGAGGAGAGGAGGGGGAGGAGGGGGAGGAGGGGAGGAGGAGGGAGAGGAGGAGGAGGAGGAGGAGGAGGCGGCGGGCGAGGCAGACAGGGGAAGAGCAGCACGACCGTGCACGGCTCGGAGGCCTGCGGCTTGGCCGGCGGCGCGGGGCGGGTGAACTTGAGCTTCGCCGTCTCGTCACCTCCGGCGGCCGCCGCAGAGAAGCCGACCATCCACTGACCACGGCCCGACGACAATTTTGCAATCACGGGCCTGCTGTCCCTGGCGTCTTCGTTCTTCATTCGTTCCTTACCAAGCTTCCTCTAACAAGCTCCCATCACCTTCTCATTCCGATAAGACGCTTGCCGTCATTCATCAGCTCTGGCGGTGCGCAAGGACGGAGGCAAGGTCAGGAAGGTTTTGCCTTTTCTCGGAAAGTTCCGCGCTCCTCAGAAGGTGCGGGCGTATGATTGTTCAAGGGGCAGGGCCCAGAGGGCCATAAAGGGCTGACCCCTGGCTCAAGCCCCTGTGCTGACCGTCAACCTCTGACGGTATTGATGCTCATGGCCGTCCCGCGCTGTTTCTCCACGCCTTCAGGATGGCCTCTTCCGGCTACACGCAAGAGTGACCCTGGGTAAGAGTGACCTTTGGTGCGCGGCTTTTGGGGGGCCGCGGGGGGACCAAGCTCAGGCGCGCGAGGCGCTACTCTCGCATCGCCATCGGTGATCGGGGGGCCCCACTGGGCCCGCACCAAAGGTCACTCCGGCGAAAGGTCACCCTTACGTCTGGTCGACTCTTGGGGGCCTCTACGGGTCCTCCCCGGGTTCTCCGGGGGGGCTCTGGGGGCATCTCGTGGGCCACGGTTGGCCCCTCCGAGAGCGATTTTTTCAAGACGATGTGGACCCGGAGCTCCGTCCGAAGCTGTGGTTTGAGGACGTCTCTGGCGGAACGGCCAGGTTTCAGAAAACTGATCGGACAAGAACGGGAAGCGCCGACTCTGTCCATCGGGCTCGAAGGGGGAAAAGAAAACAAGGATGATGACGACGACGAGGCGGCAGCTGCCGAGGACGGTAGCGCGGATAGTGGGGGCAGGGAGGGGATCAACATGACAACGAGTAGGAAGACAAGCACGAGGACGAGGAGGAAGAGATGAAGGACGAAGCGGAGGAGGAAGAGGAGGAGGAGAATAGTAAGGCTAAGGAGAGGAACACCAAACATAATAATAAGAAGAAAGACGACGACGACAAAGAAGGATGGTCAGGAGCCCGAGGGAAAGGACGTCGAAGAACAGAGGGATCCTCGTGATCTTCCGAGGCTACCCTGGGGGCTGTTGGGGCCGTCTGGAACTATCTTGGGGCATCCTGTGGCCCTCTGGGGGGCCTGTCAGGGTCCTCGGGGGGGGCTACTTGGGTTGTCTTGGGCTGTCTGGGCATGTCTTCTGGTTCTGTGGGGGCTCTCTCAAGCCATCTTGGCGCCATCTTGGGCTGTCTTGGGCCGTCTTGGGGCCCTCTTGGGCAGTCCCGGGGCCTCTTCGGGTGTTCTTGGGGGCTTCTGGGTGCCTCTTGGGGGCCCCTTGGGGCGCTTTTGGGGTCCCCTGGGGGCTTTCGGGAGCTCTCTTGGGTCGTTTCGATTCCAAGGTAATGCTGGTTCGAAATTCTCTCCAAAGCCGATGTTTCGAGACTGTCTCGAGTGAAACGGCCATTTTCCCCGAATCCGCCGGCAAACGGCCCCGTGCGCCCCGCATCCATTCGTTAGAAAACTTGTTCAAAATACCCCAAAGCCAACGGTGCACGCTGGAGGCGCTTCCCGTCATACACCATCGAGTTTCCAAGTGTAGCCAAGCCCCATAACTGATTACTACCAACAAGCTCCGCGCAACAGTGACTCCCACTGCCTCTGAGCAGAAATCCACCACCGTCCGCGAGTAACGAAGTGGAGTCCTCGGGCCCCTCCGAGCTCTCTCCATTGAATGCTGTAAGAATCACACCAGCCCTCTGGGCGTAGGTGGTTCAGGGCGGCTCCACTTCCAACCCCCTATCTTCCCCTTCGGAGATGGGTTTGCCCCTCCCCCTACCCCCTCCCCTAGACTTGGACGGGGGTGGCCGCGAGGTGTCGGAGCGTCCAAAACGGTTTCGGCGAGGAAGCCACAATCATTGATTGTACTAAGGTTTTGGCCCCATTTTGGCCTCTTGGGGGGGCGACGCTGATTGAGGATCATCGTTTTTTGATCGATTTCCTCCGAGATGTCCCCACAAGCGCTCCCAAGGCTCCCAAGGGTGCCCCAAGAGGGCCCACAGAGGTGGCCAGGAGGCCCCAAGACGCTCCCAAGAGGCCCCCAAGATATCCGAGCTTGCTCGCCGCCTTGGTCGCGAGCTGCTCGTGCCGGGCGACATGCATAAGCGACTGGAGGAAGGCTGGGGAGTGTCCTGGGAGGGGGTATACAATTCCTTCGGAAGTCACAAACATAAATGGGCCTTTGAAGCTCCAACCAATACGTTTCAAGGAAAGGATGGCGGTCCCCATGGGCCCTCGAACCGAACCCCGCGACTTGATATTCTGGTTAACCAAACTATCACCCCATTGTTTGAGGGATTGGATGTTGAGCCAGGGGTGGGGCTGGGTGGTGGCCAACCAAACCAGCTTGTGCCAAAGCGTAGCCAGCCCCAGGCCAGGTTTCCAAAGAGGGTCCTGGAGGAGGAGGAGCGAGAGAGACCTGCTGCGTGAAGGACATCGCGACACAGCAGTGGCAAGGTACTGGGTCCTAGCTTGTTCATGCGTGGTGTCATTAATGCCAGTGACTTCGACTCCGAACGTGGTGGCAGCAGCCTGACCTGTCTGACAGACTTTCTTGGTGTTCCCTCCAGCGTGCTTGAGCATCCGAATGCGGCCCAGCCGCCTGCGCATCCTATGGGTCCGCTGTCCGAGTTCCCTGGAAGTCCTCCATCGCTTTTGGGGCCGGCCAGCTCCGCGTTCAATCCCAAGGTTGGGGGCCGAAGCGTCGGTGGACCGACCCGCGAGGTCCCCAGGGCGAGCCTGAGACGGTCCTGGAGTTTCTGATGGGAGGCGAGGGCCTGACTCTTCTGGCTGGCAATCTGGCAGTTGAGCTCTGAAACGACGGCGCTGGCCAGCGCACGTGCAGCCGTGTTGAGCTGCGCGACAACAAAGCTGATGCTGGGGCCGTGGCACTGCAGCAAGAGATCATCGATGAACGTGGCCAGCATCGCGGGACTGAGCTGATCCGTCCAGCGGTCCAATGGGGCGAGCACATACATTTGGACTAAATAGGTTGCCCAACTGCAGCCTGCGGCTATGCCTCGGACAGGGTAGCCGACGGACACTGTGCAATCTAGCAACGCAACGAAACGGGCACTGGCGTACTGTGACATGATAATACGCAATAGACAAATGGGAAATCCTGACTCTTGAGCTCTATGCACCAGTCATTGTCTGTCTATACGCTCGTAATAATTAAATGGATCCCATGACGCTTGCCCAGCAAATTGGGATTGGTCGGCGAGTGAATGGCACTCACCTTCCAGAGACTGTCAATGCACTAAATCCACGATCGAGTACCCAGCCTGGTGCGCCAGGTAAGGTCTGCGGCGGTGAAATTCCACTCTCTGGCAGCCGGCTTCCGCAACCGAGCCCAAACACGATAGCGGGAGGAAGCATGCCGATGGAGCGGAATGACGGCTTCGAATGTAGATTGTCTTGTTGTTCAAATTTGGTCATGAGGGTTGAAAAGATTCCTTGCAAGGCGGTCGGCCGGCATCTCAATCACGAGTATGAGGCGACGTACGAGTTCCGCTTGTATATCACTGCGACAAGCGAAGTGTCTCGGATGGAAACCGCCCCAGGTCGAGGCCGTGGAATGCGGAAAACTGTTCGAAACCTGCGGGGGCCTTTTTGGCATCGATCGGACCGAAGGCCACGCGGTCGTCGACAAGGGAAACAACGTTGGGGCCTGGGGTCCGGGACACGTGCCATTTCTGACTGAGCATGTCAGCCTCTACTTGAAAACCATGTTGTGGTCGACCACTAGTATCACCACTGGCTGTGGTAAACTGAGCCCATCCCATTCCTCCCGTCGTGGAACTGTTGACCCGCTCCCTCCATTCCTTCCCATCCTCGGCGATATCCTGGGCTTCCTCCGCGTGGAAGGCCTTCGTGATCTGCTCTAACAGTTCATCAAGAATGTGGGGTTCCTGCTGCCGCGACGCGGATGTCCTGCAGCCCCTCCTTGAGGCCGTCGACGGTGTGGAACAACTCTGGGCTGTCCGATCTTGGGCGTCGCGGAACTCCTGTAGATACTGGGCCTGAATGCTTCTCCGAAAGTCTTGATTGAATGCGATTAATGAGCCATCTCAGCGGGCTCGCGGACGATCGCCACTGGCGCCTGCTGGAGGTGCACTTCTTTCCAGCCGAGACCCAACGAATAACGGGTGGATGGGCCCTGGGCAAGGTACTTGTTTTGAGGGGGGTGTCGGCGGCGACGCCGATTGCTATCTCCAGGTCCTGTGACAACGCGAAATACACAATATCCAATGCACTCTGAGACTGGCTATCGTTGAAAGGCGGATTCGCACCATCGATCAACTGCATAGCGTTGTCCACTACGGCTTCAGTCTGATGCCAACTCGCCGCAGAAAGCGTAGGGCCCACTGGGCCTTTGGCGGGGAGCTTCTGGGGCCCGAGGGGCGCGGGGATCTTACAATTATCGCGGACCGCGAGGTCCAGAAGCACAGGCCTATGCGGGGAGAGAGGATGCGTCGCAAGTGTGCGGGGCTGCGACAGCCTAGGCGGTATCCCGTTGCTGGCTAGAAAGGGAGTCACTTGTAATATTAGACTTCTTGGCACGGTGGGTGGCCTGCTCGGGCACCGGCATATCCATGGTGGCGCGAGCTAAGAAATCAAACTTTTGATCGCGCGAAGGGCCCATGCTAAAGTCGCCAGCCACCGCCGGGGTAAGTTTGGCCGCGTCCTGCACCTGTCCAATCTGTGACAGGAGCCCTAAACTGGCCTGCGAGAGGCCCTCCAAGGGGACAAAATACGCACTGCACACTCCAAACTTAGGCACCCCATGAAGTTCAAGCACAATCGCATGGAGACGAGCCGAAACGGTGCCACTGGGACAAACTGAATGGTTGCACCCCGAGGTCCAGACCACTGCGAACCAGAACAGCCACCCCAGAAGATTAAACCCCTAGGTGAGAAGACAGGGCGTGATCGAAGCGTGCCAGCCGCGGTGCTCGCACCACTGGGTTTTACGAACGATCTCGTCCCCGTCGCGAAGCTTACATTCTCGCGCACAAACTAATGAAACCCGCTCGGCCTCTGGTGAAGCTAGAAAACTCTCTACTGCACTCCAACAGGAACCGTTCAGCGTGGCAATCGTATACTGAGTGTTACCCGCCCGCCACAACCTTCTGGCGCACGGTGGCGGCCGCGGATCGACACTTCTTCGCGGATGTCGGTTCGGCCCCTGCGATCTTACCCATGCCCTCGGCCACCTGCTCCAGTACCTTCGCAGATCGAACCAGACTGCTGGCCGTGTCCATGGACGTCGACTTGTCCAGATCAGCATCGTCCTCGAGCCCAGGCGCCGGTTGCGCAGCTGTTGCACCACCGTGATCATTTCCTCTGGGTTGGTGCCCACTGGCGGGAAGATGTCGTCTGCCTTCGCCTGCTCACCACTGCCGCTAGCACCTCGCGCGGACGGTGGCTGGCCCGCGGCCGTAGGTGCCCACGCTGCCGCTGCTTGCTGGTGCTGCGACTGCATACTGGTGAGGATGGCGGCGAGCTCTTCGACCTTGGCACGCAGCTCTGGCGGGCTGAGCTGCCAACGTGCCTTGCATCGTCTCCAGCAGGTTCGCGTCCTTGCTCTTCTCTTGCATGGCTGCAGTGTTGGCCACGGCGAGTTGGGACTCCAGCTGCTGGACCTCTTTGGAGATGCTTCCGATGTCATCAACCAGCTTGGCATGCTTCTCACTGCATTGAACAATGTGATCTGCCAGCTGCTGTGCTTCTTGAGACGTGTCGGTAAGGCGCTGGCGCTGCACGCTGAGCTGGTCGCAGAGCGGCTGTGCTTGCTGCTCCAGGGATTTCGTGGCCAGCACCTGGGCCTTCGCGTTCTTGAGCTTGGCGAGAGCATCCTGGTGTTCATCGCCATGGGGGCGCCACCGCTTCCAGAACGTGACCTGGGCCTGAGCCAAAGCAGCTGAGTCGAGCGCTGCATCCTGCGCTGAACCTTCTGGGGCACGGGTGGCCTCGTCCGTGAAGTGAACCTGGCGCGGGCCTGGCAGGCCAGGGGGGCGACTGGGTCCTTGCGAGGAGCGCCGCCACCTGCCAAGCTGCTGCGGCACAGCTGTGTCAGAGAGGGATTCCCGATGACGACCGTTTCCTGCGCCACCGCTGCCGCCGCCGTCCTTGAACTTACCGCCACACTGCATTCAATGACGAGCGTTAGCAGGAGCCCACGAACCAACCATTGCAAGTCTTCTTGGCGCGCACGACATACCTGCGGGATTGGCCACCCATCCCCTCTTGTCCCACTCACTTGGGAAAGCCCACAAGAGGGAGGCCAGGCACAGGTACAACAGAAACGTGGTGAGCGAATGCAGCCTGGGCGGGGCCAGGCCGAGAAGCTCGAGCCCTAAACCACTGGGCTTTCCCAGTGGCGCAATGTTACGCCTCTTGGCCCCCAGAGGCCCGAGGCTTGAGCCAAAGAGGAGGAGGAGGAGGAGGAGGAGGAGGAGGAGGAGGAGGAGGAGGAGGAGGAGGAGAGCGGACCAACACCAAAAATGGTCTGATCGCCGCGGAGGCGCCAGGAGGCATGGGTGCGCAGCCAGAGGCACCCTTAAGCAAGGGTCTGACGTGGCCCTGGACCGACCAGCCTGGCCTCGGCCACCATGCACGGCATTTGCAATCGGACCTAGGACAGGAGAGCATCCTTTGAGAACAGAGTACTCATAATACCCTCCGCCAGCCAAAACGAACAGCATTCGAGGGTGCCCTTCCCCCAGGATGCACAAGAGCATCCAGCACACGGGAAGAACCTTCGAGGACCCTCCCCGAGCCGAACGCACGAAAACAAAAAGAGGGGAGGGCATGCTACCCACACGTTCCTAGTCCTTACCCCCTCTGAGACGCCCCAGACTCCTCAACTCGGGCCGGGCGAAAGGGGGGATAGCAAAGGGGGGGGGGTGAGAATCAGCTCACGTAGCTGATTTCCCCAGCGCCTCCCAGCGCCAAGAGGCGCCCATGTATCGAGGAATGGGCCCGGCGGCGGGGCCGAAACCAGCTGCATGCAGCAGATTGCGTAACGCCCCCCTTCCCAGCCCCCCCTCCCTCCGTTCGTTCGGGCCGATCACGCTCCTGCGGCCGCGCGCGGGCCTCTCCCGAAGGGCGCTCGGTGGCCGGGAGCCGGCAGACTCCTCCGCCCAGGGCGGCTCCCCCCAGGGGTGGCTGCCCGTCTGAGACAGCGGCCGCTCCCAGGGGGGAAGGGTCTGCCAGCTGGGGCCTCCTCCTCCTCCTCCTCCTCCTCCTCCTCCTCCTGACTCCTCCTCCTGACTCGTCCTCGTCCCTACTCCTTCTCGTCATCCTCCTCCTCCTCCTCCACCACCTCCTCCTCCTCCTCCTCCCCTTGGCCGCCCCGCCGCGGGCCCGCCTGCGTCCACGCGGCGCGCCCTCTCGCGGCGGTGCTCCTCCGTGAGCCTCACGAACTGGGCCGGCGCCGCGTCCAGCTCCAGCACGGGCTCAAAGAAGCCGGTCTTCTCGTTGATGGTCACGTTCTCCTTCGATCGGGCGCACGCCAACAGTATAATAATAGTAATACAAATAATACTAATGATGATAATAATATTAATAATAAAAAATACTAATACTAATACTACTATTACTAATAATAATAATACATATAATAATAATAATACTAATCATAATAATAATAATACGAATCATAATAATAATAATAATAATAATAATAATAATAATAATAATAATACTAATAAGAATAATAATACTAATAATAATACTAATAATAATACTAATAATAATAAACATGAATAATAGTACTACTAATAAGAAGAAGCAGCGCTATAAACACACAGTACACTATTGGCGCTCCGTGCGGATTTCTTGGGTCTGCGCAGGACCCCCCTCTCTGGCGCGCGGAGCGCGCCAGGGGCGGCGCCGGAGGCGCCGCCGGGGGGGGGCCCCAGCGCGGGTCCAAGAAATCCGCGCAGATCGCCAAAAGTCTATGTTTATGCCGTGCTTTCTTCCTCGAAACATGGACTAGGGATCTGGCGCCCGCGCGCCGGATCCACGGATCGGGGGAGCTGTCCCGGGAAGCGTGCGGCACGTGCCGCCCGATTTGGCGACGGCGCGCGCCGGTTCTGAGTGGAATCGGGGCCCGTGGCTAAGCCATTCGCCTGAATCCATGTCTGCGCTTCCTCCTCCCCTCCTCCTCCTCCTCCTCCTCCTCCTCCTCCTCCTCCTCCTCCTCCTCCTCTCCTCCTCCTCCTCCTCCTCCTCCTCCTCCTCCTCCTCCCTCCTCCTCCTCCTCCTCCTCCTCCTCCTCCCCCCTCCTCGCCTTACTTTGTCCTCCTCCTCCTCCTCCTCCTCCTCCTCCTCCTCCTCCTCCTCCTCCTCGCTCGCCACCCACTTCGAGCGGGGGCCAGAGGAGGGAACACAAAGGCCTGCCGGCCAGCAGATCGGCGGAAGGCCCACCGACGGGCAGGCGCCGCCCTCCCGAGCAGCTCCGCGCACCCGGGCCCCGTCCCTTGCTAGGGCTGGGCGATCGGGGATCGAGGCTCCACCCCTCCTCCTCCTCCTCCTCCTCCTCCTCCTCCTCCTCCTCCTCCTCCTCCTCCTCCTCCTCCTCCTCCCCCCTCCTCCCCTTCCTCCTCCCCCTTCCTCCTCCCCTCCTCCTCCTCCCCCTCCTCCCCTCCTCCTCCTCCTCCTCCTCCTCCTCCTCCTCCTCCTCCTCCTCCTCCTCCTCCTCCTCCTCCCCCTTCCTCCTCCCCCTCCTCCTCCTCCTCCCTCCTCCTCCTCCTCCTCCTCCCCTCCTCCTCCTCCTCCTCCTCCTCCTCCTCCTCTCCTCCTCCTCCTCCTCCTCCTCCTCCGACTGGGCTGGGCGATCGGAGATCGGGTGCGCCGACCCAGGTGCACAGTCTCCCCCGGGTCGGCGCCCCCGATCTCCTCGCCAGCCGCTCCGCCCTCGCGGAGCGCCCGCGGGCGGCGGTCGGGGCAGCAACCGACCGTCCCGGCATTCCTGTAGGCCTGCCACGACGTGTTCTCAAACCCAGAAGTGTTCTAAGAACAACAACCACGGCTCTTAGACCAGAAACCCGATGTGTTGAAACACGGCAGTCCCAGCCAGAAATGTTCCAGAACATGTCGGTGAAGCCACAAAAAGGTTCTCAGAATCTTGCTTGGTAGGCCTGTAGGCACGTCAGGACGCTTCGCCACTGCTTGAATGGTGGGGGAGGTGGGGGCAGAACCGGCGGCGGACCCGACCCCGTTCACCTCCTCCCTCCTTCCTCCCTCCTCTCCTCCCTCCCCCAATCTGCCCGATCCTCCCTCCTCTTTCCCGCCCAGCAACCATCCTCTTTCCCCCTGCCTTCCTTGACGAGCTCTACGAAGTCTGCGATTTTCTCGATGCCATAGTTCTTCAGAGTGAACGTCTTCTTGAAGTACTTCGTGTAATAGAAAGGGAGGTGCTCCTCCTTGAAGCCTGGCCTATCTGGGTCGTTGAGGTCCTTCTTGAAGGAGTGCAGCAGCAGGTTGAACTCGTAGCGCAGGCTGAGCAGCGTCCAATCCTCGTACACGAAATTGGCGAACAGCGGCTCGCAGTTGCCCAGGTCCGTGACGTCCTCCACCTCCATCGCGTCGATGTCCTCCGCGTTGATCTCCATCGGCTCTGCCGCCTCCTCCGCGGCCTCCTCGCCCGCCTCCTCCTTTTTCTTTTTCGCCTCCTCCTTCTTCTTGGCCACCATCGCCTTCCGCTTGTTGGGATCCCTCCATTCGCCCTGCTTTTTCCTCCACTCCTGTGAGGGCGGACACAAACTCCATACACTTCTATAGTTTCGGATGCCCGCGCAGATTTGCTGCAGTGGCGCTGGACCTCCTTTTGGTGGTGGTGCTGGTGGTAGTGGTGGTGGTGGTGGTGGCGCTGGACCTCCTGTCCTGGCGCGCGGAGAGCGACAAAGAGGGGCAACGATAGGGGGGGAACCTGGCACAAGGGGCGAAGACGTCGACCTGGAATCGGCCACACCTCGCCGATAGATCGGCGATGGTGAACGGGCCCTGGGACACACAAATAAATACACACCAATAACAGGATTTCCTACATCTTCCCATAGTTTCTGGGTGTCTGTCTTCCCCCCAACTTCCCGTAGTTTCATGTATATTTTCCGGGGAATCGAGGATGAATGGTGTCTCTGTGTTTTTTCCTCTCCCGACGATAGATCGGCGATGGGCCCCCGACAGCGAACCCGCACGCTCCCGGGCAGGCTGAGGGCCATCCGGGCCCACACCGGCGATCCAGGGGGCGACGGCGGGTCGATGCATTTTACTCCCCGTGTTCGGCCATCCCCCCCCCCCCTGTCGCCCAGACGAGCGCATCCCCATCCCTCTCCCCCTATCCCTATCCCCTATGCCTCTCCCCTATCCCTATCTCCTATCCCTATCCCCTATCCCTATCCCCTATCCCTATCCCCTATCCCTATCCCCATCTCCTCCCTGTCTCCGATCGCCTCTGTGGCTACCCCCTCCCTATCCCAATCCCCTATTTTCCTCCCTATCCCCCCCCTATCTCCTCCCTATCTCCGATCGCCCATCTGGCTGTCCCTAACCCCTGTCCCCTCCCTATCTCGGGGGCACTGCCCACGAGACACAGAGAGGGTGGCGCCGGACGCGCCACCAAAGGGGGGGCTCGGCGCAGAGCCGAGAGGTCCGCGCGCGCGCGCCTCCGACCAATTGTTCTCTACTGCGCGTCTGCGGGGCGCTCTCTGTCTCTCTCTCGGCGGAGCTCCTGCACGGTCTTCTGCCACTTGCTCCACTCCTGGGCGTCGCTGCAAGGGAGGGCGATAAATTAAAGGTGATCGTCTTTTTGATTCGGCGCTTCGGCATTGGGGGGGAAGTCGGGGGGAGGGGGGGGGTCTGGCTCCGGCTCTGGACCTCTGCTCAGTGCGACTGTGTGGAGCAGTGCGGCCGATAGTGGAGGGACCCCACCGGCTCGAAGGCGCCAAAAACAGCCAGATCTGCTCCACGGGGGGGGAGGGGGGAGGGGGAGGGGGGGGGGGCGAGGGCCGCCGCCGATCGGCAAAACAATGAATCAAAAAACCGCCCATAAGGGGGGAGGGGTGGAAGACGGGTGCACCTTTCGGGCTCCAGGGGCCCCCCCTCTGGGGTGCAACGTGCTCCAGAAGGGGGCCCTATATAGAGGGAGCCTCGCCGGGGTCCTACGAAGGGCCCCTGCTGCGCGGCCCTCGCTGCCCCCCCCAAATTACTAGAGGCCTCCTCAATGGTGTCGGAGTAGATGGGGTCGGAGAATCGCGTCGCATCGCCGATACATCGGCGACGCATCGGCGACGCATCGGCGATGCATCGGCGATGCACTGGCGATGCATCGGCGATGCGCTATCGGCGACGTCGGCGTGAAGCAACTCGGGCCCCGCATCTACTCCGACCCCCTCTGGGAGTCCAAGGAAAGATCACGCGACGCCCAGCACTTCCTCCTTGAAGGACTCGCCGGGCTGGAGGTCCTCCACGCGCTGGGTCATCTTCCTCTCGAAGACCCAGGCCTGAGGAGGAGGAGGAGAAGGAGGAGGAGGAGGAGGAGGAGGAGGAGGAGGAGGAGGAGGAGGAGGGAGAGGAGGAGGAGGAGGAGGAGGAGGGAGGAGGAGGGAGGAGGGAGGAGGAGGAGGGAGGAGGAGGAGCCTCCCCCCCCCCCCGGCGGGCGGGGCCGCACGGCCGACCCCGTCGAAGGGAGAGGACTCCAGAGCGGCAGGGGGCTCTGGAGTGTTGGCGAGGGCGGAAGAGAAACGCCGCCCGAGGCGAGGGAGCAGGGCGAAGAGGTCCTCCTCCTCCTCCTCCTCCTCCTCCTCCTCCCTCCTCTTTTTCCTCCTTATCCCTTCTCCTCCTGCTCCCTTCCTCCCTCCTCTCTCCCTCTCCTCTCTCCTCCTCCTCCTCCTCCTCCTCTCCTCCTCCTCCTCCTCCTCCTCCTCCTCCTCCTCCTCCTCCTCCTCCGCCTCACTCCTCCTCCTCCGCCTCACTCCTCCTCCTCCTCCTCCGCCTCACTCCTCCTCCTCCTCCTCCTCCTCCTCATGCTCCTTCTCCTGGGGGGGGGGAGGGGCGGGCGGAGGAGAGACGGGGCCTCCTCCCGCTCTGTTGCCGATGCTGTGGGGCCCCGTCTGGGAACCGCACAATCCACGGCAACAAGAGGCTCTCCTGGGCGTCAAGTCCGTCTCCGGGGCGGAATGCTGAGCCGCAAGGGTCCAGCAAAGAGTCCCCTGCTCCGCGGGACGCGCTGCTTCCTTGTTTCTCGGCGTCCTCCCAGCGCGGCAATAACGGCTTCCGAATCCCATCGCCTTCATCTGCTTCAAGATGCTTCAGAGAAATCCCCACGAAACTTGCTTATTGCCATTCGCGCACTCATCCACCAGAGGTGATGCGAAGACCCTGTGAGCCGGACTGGGTGGGCATCCGGTCTGAGACCATCAGACGGCTATTCTTGGTACCCGGAGACGTACCATCATTGGCCGTCGCACCCACGTGAAGGACCATCATCGGCCGTCGCCCCCGATCCATTCAAGCTGAGAACCTATGGCAGTGGTGGTGGGAGAAGACGTGGACGGGCCGGACGGAGGGAGGCGGAGTTGGAGAAGGACGGATTTGGGGTCGATGATGGGGAGGAAAAAAATGATGAGGGGGAGGCGGAACATGGAACGGGACGGAAGGAGGGGGCAAAGAAGGGAACGAGGGAGGGGGGAGCCGACACGAGACGAAACCGCACTGCAATCTACGTGCACCAACGTCCACGCAACGCACGAAGTGGAGGGGGGGACCGCAACCACAAACGGCTTCGGAACCGTTGTCAACACTACTGCTCATGATAAAACTATGTCCCTGGCGCAGCTGCAGTGCCACGCGCACGCTTGGCACTCCAGCCTCACATGCCCACGACCACCAACTACCTACCACAGACACCGATGGAGGTGTGTGTGTGTGTGTGTGTGGGGGGGGGGGGGGCTCTGGAGCCGGCGCGGATGACGCTCGGGGCTGGTGCCCAACACAAAGTTCCTCTCGCGTTCGCTGCTCGCTTCTCCCGCCATGAAAATGGCGCCGGAGGAGGACGAGGAGAGAGGAGGAGGAGGAGGAGGAGGAGGAGGAGGAGGAGGAGGAGGAGGAGGAGGAGGAGGACGAGGAGGGAGGAGGAGGAGGAGGAGGAGGAGGAGGAGGAGGAGGAGGAGGAGGAGGAGGAGGAGGAGGAGGAGGAGGAGGGCAGCATTGCAACAAATGGCGCTGGGCTCAACGCCACAGCAGACGGCCCGCATGGCCTCCGAGAGGCCGCAGGAACACGCGGGCTGCAAGGGGGTCTGGGCGCGGCGACGCGCGGCGCGAGCTGCGGGGCCCGCCCGGCGGGGTTTGCCGAAGCGAGCGCCAACGAGCCACAGGGGGGCTGATCTGGTCTACCTCCTCCTGACCCCACTCAGGGAGAGGGGAGCAATTTTTTTTTATGGCGACCACGTCCGCTTCACCAATCTCCGTGGACGGGTCCTAGATGTAGCGCGCAGCCTAAGCCCCAGTTGCGCGGCGGGACGGGCGACCACGCTTTCCACTTCCCCCTCCAGGGAGAGGTGAGCAGTATGGAGCGTGTCGGCGAAAAGGGCAAGCGCGAGCAACATCTCCTTTGCACAGAAGGGGCAAGAGGCTCAGTGCGCACAGCACTGCGAGCAATATTGGCCGAAGGGCGGGAGAGCAGGGAGGAAGACCGGCACGGAGGGGAGAGCGACCGCGAGCGATTCCTCCCGCATGCACGTCCTGGAGACCAAGCCACGAGCGAGCAGAGATCGCCGCCCCATCTGCAGTGTCGCCAGCCACCGCGGGCTCAGCATCAGGCCGCAGAGACATCCAGCCCCTCTCGAGGCACCGCGAGCTCCAGACACGAGATGCCCCTGGCAGAAGATGACACGGGCGCGCGAGCAACCTTCAAGCGGACCTGGAATTGAAGATCCTGGTGTTGCACGCAACCTTATTAGCGCGAGGGCCCGACTCTGGACCAGTGGCAACGCAAGGGGCTGACGGCGCTGCGCTAGCGTTGGCGTGGTCGATTTGACCAGGCTCCGCGTTCCAAGATCCACAAGGAACCCAACCCTGAGACCCCAGGGCGTCCATTGATTGTTGGTGTGGGAACGTCACGCTCTACATAGCAAAACCTTCGAAGCCCAAGGAACCCAGGGCACCCAGGAGGCAAGCAGGGTGTTTCTTGGCATGGGTTTCCACTGCACGCGCAAATCCTTCATCGAGTCACCCCAAACCCACGGCGCGTTGAAGAAGCCCTGGCTGTCCTTAGAGCCACCAAGTCGAGCTGCGAGCAGCCGAAACCTTTCGTCATGCGCGTTGGCCTGCCGTCTTTCCCAGCAACGGACGCACCTGTTGGGAAGATAACTATGTAGATGGAAAAACACGAGCCGCCTTGATCCGCAACAACTACGTCGCTCTGGAGCGAAGCTGCTGCAAGCGCAAGCAGAGCACCTGAGCCAGAACGGCTGTGAGGAACGCGAGGCGGAGACCGCACAGCGACAGAACGAGAGAGAGAGAGAGAGAGAGAAAGGACCAGGAGGGCGAGAGGAGGAAGACCACGAGTAAGGCGAAGACGACGACTACGACGACGACCCACCCCGATCCATCCCGGGGCGCGTTCTGACCAAAACTGCCACGCGGATCCAGCCTTGGCCACGAGGGCGCCACCCGAGGCCCAACCAGGACACACGACGTCCAGAACGCTACACTCGAACCCTATCCTCAACCAGCGACGTCGATAACCACCACTACGACGACCAGCACCGCGACGTCGATATTATCGGTCCCCACGGGCATCGACGACCAAATCCGCGCTGATGACGACCACCAGAACCACGACGCCGATCGACGGCAGCACCGATCAACGACGAGGGCGACCAGAACCACCACCATGACAACCCCCTCGCAGGCGGCGCCTTCAGGTGCTCAGCGCACGCCGCCTCTGGCTGCCAGGCGTAGGAGACCGAGTCGAAGCCGTCCGCCGTGGTCGGCAGGGAGAACTGTGCGTAGAACTTGGCCAGGGCCTCTTCTCGCGAGGAGGCCGTCGTCGCCGCCGGCGTCGTCGCCCTCCACCTCTATCCTTCCCTCCTCCTTCTGCCCGCCCTCGGTGGAGGGCCACTTGCGAGGGGGGAGATGGGGAGGACGAACAAGCAGTGTGCTCAAACTTTGTTCATACGGCACTGTCTTCCGCTAGCCTTCGGCAGAACCAGAACAGTCGGCCTGATGATCTGCTCACGGCTGGAGACCGGGCTGAGATCGGCAAAGGGTCCCCTGGCCAGACAAGGCTGCATGATGGACGCCACAGGTGCTCTCGTGGTAGAACGCTTCTCCTGAGTAAAATGGGCAGTGCGGCCAGTGACCGAGGTTGGCGACGCTTTGCCTATCGGCCTGGACCTGACGGGTGCGAGTGGCCCTCTTCGACCGAACGAGGCCTGCAATGCTGCGAAGAAACGGAAGCGGAACCGAGCCTCTGGAGAGGGAGCATTCCCTAGCGAAATCTGAAGACGGCAAGGCGCGGCCACGTGAATGGGCCACAATGCTGTGAAACAAATGTTGGACGGAGAAGGCCGTGCCAGACCTCTCGCACGAGGCTAACCATCGCGACTGCCCTGCTCAAGAAAGGAGCCACGGCCGACTGCGCTATCTACAGACGCATTTCCTTGCTGCCGATCGGTCGTACATTGTACGCACTGGCAAGGACGAAGAGGAAGGCAATGACGACACGGAAAGGAAAGCCTCTGCTGGATCATATTCATGATCATCCCCATTATCCTCGAGCAGCGCGGCTGGGTGCGGCGCGGCTGAAGGGCTTTTACCACCCCCCCGGGCTTCTGGCTAGTGGCCTCGGCAGAGAAGCCAGTGGAATCAGGACGCACGATAGGGATCCAAAGGCCTCGGGCCTTGGAAGGCCATGCCGGCACTTTGCGGGCGGGGCGCGGCCAGCGAAAGCGGCCAGGGATGGGCCGAAGGGAAAAGACGCAAGGGCAACCTTGGAAAGTTGCTCGTCCTTAGTGTGCGGGTTGACTATATTCCCTCCCCCCTTCGTCCACCTCTCCCTCTTGTCTTCGAATTCCTCGCTCCTCCACCACTTCTTCTCGGGGCACGAGGGGGCACCTTCTCGCCCATGTCCGGCATCTCGCCCTTGCGGAACCACATGTTCTTCTCCTGCCGGCCGCGACTGCGAGGACGATAGCATGAGGAGGAGAATGACGAGTAGCAGGCGGGGGGGAGAATGAGGAACACCAGAAAAGGGGTTGGGAGGAGAAAGACAAGACGGGGGAGAAGGCGTAGGTGAACTGCGAGGAGGGGGAAACGAAAAAAGGAGGAGGAAGAGGAGGATGAATCGGTCTATGAAAAGGGCTACAGGAGGCTTGGGACGCGGGCGGGGGGGGTGAGGGGTATGCGTCATGGAAAAAGAGGATGAGGAGGCTGGCCGAGTGTCTAGGGCGAGGAGAGAGGAGGAGGAAGGCATCTTGGACGAGGAGGAAGAGGAGATCTAGGAGACGAGGACCAGAGATGTCTCGTGAGGCGAGGTGGATGTATAGGGCTGAGAAATACGCAAGACGAACATGATGCCCGGTAGAAGGATAGCACCTGTGATGAGGCCTGTGAGGATGGCAAGAAGAAGGGAAAGGATGACGAAACTGCCTAGGCTTAGAAAGCCCAGGGTTCGCTCGAGGAGCTGGTTTCCCTCCAAAACGACGAAAACCTTTCCAACATTCTCCCGGAACCCTTCGAAAAGCCTCCAAGAACCCTTCCCGGAGGGTTTTCGGAGGGCTTCTGGAGTGTTCCGGCTGCTTTGAAAAGAAACCTGGACTGTCTGAGTCTAGAGTGGTGCCGAGAGATAGGGTTAGATCGGGCATGTTCTCCTAAAGGCGGACTTTGGGAGAAAGCAAGAGCAGAACCCTTCGAAAAGCCTCCAAGAACCCTTCCCGGAGGGTTTTCGGAGGGCTTCTGGAGTGTTCCGGCTGCTTTGAAAAGAAACCTGGACTGTCTGAGTCTAGAGTGGTGCCGAGAGATAGGGTTAGATCGGGCATGTTCTCCTAAAGGCGGACTTTGGGAGAAAGCAAGAGCAGTCAACAACAACAACAACAACAACAACAACAACAACAACAACAACAACAACAACAACAACAACAACAACAACAACAACAACAACAACAACAACACACAACAACAACAACAACACACATCACAACAACAACAACAACAGCAGCAGAGCAGCAGCAGCAGCAGCAGCAGCAACAACAACAACAACAACAACAACAACAACAACAACAACAACAACAACAACAACAACAACAACAACAACAACAACAACAATTACTAGCACGTGGGGACACTCCGTTCTCACCAGTGCCAGGGTTTTCATAGGAGGCGGGCAATACCCCCACTTTGTGGGGGGGCCGGTTCAAGCTCTACCAAATTTCCAAACGACTCTTCGCCACCACCCACACCCAGCTTCCCGCCCTATGACGTTCGGACACTTCACTTCGTGGCCTGCGGACGACCGTGGCTGCTACACTGGCGCATGGGTACAGTGACTTGTTGTGGTAACATTTTCTGGACGCTAGCTTAGTATACGACTTTTCCCCCTGTTCCAACACTGGACGCTAGCTTAGTATACGACTGTTCCCCCCAGCCCTGTCCAAAATTCGTACAGATGTTTTTCGAGGACCTACGGTGCGATTCGTATGATTTTATGTTGCGCGGTGCTAAACTTCCTAAGAAACCCAATGGTTTTTGAAGATTTCGGCGTGCGCGCGCGAAGAAAAAACGAATGTGTCCCGCATGGTATTATTTGACAGGGATGATGGCCCTGGCAGGTGCGCAACGGTTGTTGGAGAAGTTCGAAGCACGTGAACAAGTTGCTCGCAAAAGCCCATTTGACAGAAATGTTTAAAAAGTGTTGGGTTTCCTACAAATCCGCAAGAGCGCGCGGGATGAAATTTTGACACTTTTTTTTTGAAAAACCATTGGTTTTTTTGATGTTTTTATGTTAAAATCGCTACGAACACTAAGGTTTTGGAAGGATTTCGTCTTGCGCGCGCGAATGTCCACTTTACCTTATTTTTTGCAAGGGATTCAAGAACAAGAAATGTCCACTTTCGTAACAAAACAACCGGATCCGGACAACGTTTTGCCTGCGAAAATGATGAAAATGTGGCTGCGGCCTAGGCGCGGCGAGGGGGCCGCGCACCAGGGGAACAAGAATAAATAATGTAGCACACACTCCGTTCTCACCAGTGCCAGGGTTTTCATAGGAGGCGGGCAATACCCCCACTTTGTGGGGGGGCCGGTTCAAGCTCTACCAAATTTCCAAACGACTCTTCGCCACCACCCACACCCAGCTTCCCGCCCTATGACGTTCGGACACTTCACTTCGTGGCATGCGGACGACCGTGGCTACTATTCAGGGCCCCGCGGCCGACGACGACGGCGTGCGCGCGCGAAGAAAAAACGAATGTGTCCCGCATGGTACTATTTGACAGGGATGATGGCCCTGGCAGGTGCGCAACCGTTGTTGCAGAAGTTCGCAAAAGTTGCTCGCAAGAGCCCGTTTTACAGAAATGTTTAAAAAGTATTGGGTTTCCTAAGAAATCCGCAAGAGCGCGCGGGATGATTTTTTGAAACTTTTTTTTTGAAAAACCATTGGGTTTTCATGTTTTTATGTTAAAATCGCTACGAAAACTAAGGTTTTGGAAGGATTTCATCTTGCGCGCGCGAGTGTGCACTTCGTGTCATTTGTTGCAAAGGATTCTTGAAGTTTGGTTATGTTAGAACAAGAAATGTCATTTTATATTGTTTTTTGGCAGGGAAAGCGGGCGTCAACAAAACAACCGGATCTGGATCACATCGTTTTACCTGAGACTTCCTCACGAAAATGATGAAAATGTGGCTGCGGCCTAGGCGCGGCGGGGGGGGCGCGCACCAGGGGTCCCAACAATAATTATTCTTAAGAAGAAATAATGTTCAACAACAACAACAACAACAACAACAACAACAACAACAACAACAACAACATACAATCAGAAGAGCACGAAGCCTCGTCACCGGACCAGTTTTGGACTACTCTTGAAGATCCCTTCTGTGAAGGGGCGTGCCCGAGTTAAGGATAAGGAGGAGGTGGCCCAGGAGGAGGGCGCACAGGTGCCTCGGAGGCGGAGGCGCCCACGACGGGGCGACGAGGGGGGCCCGAGCCTCCGACGCCCAATGCTTGCGGCGGCCCCGCCCACCCCGCCCCCGGAACCCTCCACCCCTCGCACTGGGTCGGTGCCTCGTGTTTTGTTGTATGGGTTGTTGTTGTTGCTCTTGTTGAATTCTCATTTCTGAAGAATAATTATTGTTGATCCCCCCCCCACTGGTGCAGACTGTTTTTTCGCAATGAAACTGTGCCCCTCGACGCTCGCACCCTGTTTTTTGACAGGGAAAGTCTTGATGCTCAAACTGGCCCCCTGGCCCCCGGGTTACAACAACAACGGCTCCCGCTTGAGACTTCCTTACAATTTAGCCAGGACCCCCGCTCCCGCCCGAGACTTCTTCGCATCTTATGCAGAAATCGCGCTCTCGCTTGGGACCCCCCTTGCAATCTATTCAGGGATCGCTCTCCTGGCGCTCTGGAGTCGCGCTCTCGCTGGAGAACTTGCTTGCAACTTACTGAAAAATAGTCTTGCGTTGGAATTTTCTGCAATTTGCCCAAGCGCCGCGCTCCCGACACCCAGGCACCCAGGAACCGCGCCCGTTGTGGCCCCATGTGCATGCCCTTCGTGGCCCCGCTGTCGCCATTTTTGTCCCCCCCACTGACCTACGCGGCCCAGTTGCTACCCTCAGTGGCCCCATAATTGCCTTCTATGGCCCCGCATTATCCGCCCTTCGTGGCCCCCGATCGTTCGCGCTCTTCGTGGCCCCATACGCATTCCCTTCGTGTCCCCGCTGTCGTCCTTCGTGGCCTACTTCGTGCTCTTCGTGGATCTACTGTCGTTCTCTCTCGCTCTCGCTTTCGCTCGTCGTCGCCGTCGTCGTCGTCGTCGTCGCCATCGTCTTCGACGTCGTCGTCGTCGTCGTCGTCATCGTCGTCGTCGTCGTGGTCGGTCCCCTGTCCGTCCCTCTTGGGGTCGGGTCGACGGTCCGCGGCCACCCCGCCGATCAGCGCTGCCGCTGGCCAGGCCGACGGTCCGCGGCCGCCCCGCCGCTTGCCGGGGCCCGGCCTGCAGGGAAGAAAGGTATACCCTTCAGAAGGGGTTCGATCGAAGACGAAAAAGGCGGGTATCGAGGGTTTGGGACATACGCGTGATTAGACACTCGAGCATTTAAGGGCGAACGGTCTTACAATTATTGTTACTGTTGTTGCTACTGTTGTTGAACTCTCACTACTGAAGATTTATTATTGTTGATCCCCTCCCCTGGTGACCATTGTGTTTTCAAATTGAAGTGCTTCCCCCGGGGCTCGCACCCTGATTCTTGCCAGGAAAAAATCACGGTGCTCAAACTGGGCCCCTGGTGCCCGGTTCACAACAACAGCGGCTCCCGCTGGACACTTCCTCACAATTTATTCCCAAATCGCGCTCTCGCGCGGGACTTCCTCACAATTCATGTGCGCATCGCGCTCTCGCGTGGGACTTCCTCGCAGTTTATTCAGACGATGCGCCCTCGGCGCTTTGGAATCACGCTCTCGCTCTGGGTTTTCTCACGATTTACTTGGGAATCGCGCTATCGCTCGAGACTTCCTTGCGATCCATGCAGGGCCCACGCTTCAGCAACCCGCCTGCTCGACATCGTCGCCTGGGCCCGCCTTCCCGACTTGCCCGCTATGGGTCTGCCCACCCGATCTGTCCGTCTGGTTATACCGATTGTTTCTGCTCTAATCTCTCTCCTTCCACCCGTCCTCTCTTCCCTTGTTTTAGGGGCTGCATTCAATGCACGTGACAGGTACGGAAGATATACCCCCAAAGGGTACGATCGAAGACGACGAGGGCGGATACCGAAGGCTTGGGATAGACGTACTGGTTGGCACGTGAGCACTGGGAACGAACAGTCTTAAGATGGTTGTTGTTGTTGCTGTGGGTGGTTAGTTGTGATTGTGGTTGTGGTTGTGGTTGTTGTTGGTTGGTTGGTTGGTTGGTTGGTTGGTTGGTTCGTTGGTTGTTGCTGTTGTTGTTGTTGTT